GGCTGTTTTTATGAAAACTCAAGCCCCAAGCAGGATTCCTCTAATGATTAGAAGTTATTAGCCTGCAGGCCCTGGGGACAAACCAGGCTTGAACAAGATGGAGTCAAAGGGAGACCAAGCATTTCACTCTTACAACCTGATCAACACTAGATAACCTGCCTGACAGAACCTGGCCATCTCCTAAAGGAAAGTAACTTTGCAATAACCCACCTTTTTTGTCTAGTATAAAGTCTTTGTCCCCACTACCATTGCCTATATAAGTCTTTCATTTTGTACAGAGCTCCTTTCTGTCTGCTAGATTGGATGCTGCCCGATTGGAATCAATTTTTGGTCAAATAAACTCAAAATTTTGAATATGCCTCAGTTTCTCTTTTAACAAATCCCACCCTCCAGGGCTGGCCGAATGGCACGTTAGTTAGGAGTTGGCTTGGGATGCAGCTCCGAGCAGCAGGGCCCAGGTTTGGATCCCACATGAGGGCCAGTGATGCTGCGCCCTCTACAGCTAAGATGGTGAACAACAGCTCAACCTGGAGATGGGCTGCCATGAATCACTGGCAATGGTGTAGGCTGCAGTGGGGCATCAGTGGGCTGCCGTGAGCTACCATGAGAGGCCAGCAGCCAGCGTGAGCGGCCGTCCAATGGCCAGCGACGACTGCCTCATCCAGGAAGAGTGCAATGATAATACCAACATGGGCCAGTGAAGCGACATCCTCCACAACTAGACTGAAGAACAAAAGGATAGCAACTTGTTCCCCTTCCCCGATTCCCCAACGCTGTTGCCCTCCCCCAATTCCCCAATAAAAAAAATCTTAAAAAAAAAAAAAAAGCAAATTTGGTGTACAACATTCCAAACTGTGTTCTAGGCATTAACACATGAAGCCATACTCCACGTACTGTTTTGTAATCTTATTTTTACTTTATAGCATAGCACAGATATTTCCATACCAGTGAATACATAAAAATGTACATGAATGCTTTATAGGAATGTATAGTGTATTTAAGGAAGATATGTCTTGAATGACAAAGCTAACCAAATTTGATGAATTACAGCAGCTAAAAGAGGTCTGGCTCTGCTTCCTCCCAAATAATGGAATTAGCATAATTTGACTGAAACTCTGACATAATGCATCCAGCTGCTTGATTACTGTTTGGATTCCAGCCTTGTTTTCAGAAGAAAGACTTCTATTGCTCCCTGACAAAATCCCCACCTCTGACCAATAGTAGGGCTGTGTTCTTAAACCTTAGTTGTTTTTGTAAAATTTGCTTTGGGGACAGACTGCCTTGTCTTATAATTCTGGTTCCACCATTTACTAGTTTTGTGATTGTTGACCCTCTGAACCTCAGTTTCCTCATTACAAAATGGGGTTAACAATAAGTACCTGATAGATTTGTTGCGGAGTATTATTATCTAAGATGGTATGTGCTGGGTTCTGTAAACTGTGTAATTATTATTCAAATTATAAGTGCTTTGTCTCCCCCCAAACTGCTAATAAGCAGTTTGACTCAGACTTTGGATCAGTAACAAGGTGATTCCTGACTGACTGGTTTAAGATTCCATTTCTGGGAGAGCTGAAACTGTAATTAAGTCTCAGTTCAAGATGTGGAGCTTAGCATAAGTAACTTCTAATTCAGAAATATTTACATATATATTTACATTCTGTCTCTACTTAAAATGTACTTTTCATCAAATCAATACTAAATAGAGTTGGAAATACAGCCAGTTAGACCAGAGTTTTAAGGAACCACTCCCCTCAGAGACTCCAGAAGGATTAGAGAACTAACTAAATGAGGACACGGAAAGGGAAATAGAAAACAGGTGAATATTTCTCTGATTTCAGGGTGTCGAAGGCATTTTTAAGCATAAATCACAGGAAGAAATGAAAAGGACAGAAGTTGATAGATTTACCACTCAGAAATTTTACGTTTCTATATGTATTTTTAAAAACACACACAAAAAAGGTTTCTACAAGTCACAGCACTATAAAATAACTCAAAGACAATGAAAGGCATGGATAACCTGGATGGGTGATGTAAACAGAACACCTACCAGTCTTTTTTCCCCCATTTCAGTCTTTCACCATTTTTCCTGACAGTCCGTTCCACACCCACCGTCATAATAATCTCAAAGAAAGATTATTCTCAATCACAAAATAAGGCTTTCTTTAGATTGCCCTGATTACTTACATAGAGGTGGCTAAAGTGTTAATTTACCATATATTTGCAAATCTAGAGTACTGAACAACTATTGCAGCCATATATTTCACTTCTGTCTGGAAATTTTCATAATGAATGTCAGATTAGACTTTCCAAACCCTGTATTATTTGCTTTCCCAAGGCTGGGAAATGAAACCCAAGAAACTCTCACCACCAGATTTTCCTACAGTACCTATAAATTTGAGTGAATTTTGAGGTCCTGAAATTTCTCATGGGGTCCTGGAAATCCTGACCCAGCCTACTGGTGTGGTCTGAGCGTTGTCCAAGTAATGTCAGGTCAGCTATGAAGTGTTAATAGTTTGAAGAACCTAGTGCAATCATTTTTCCAAGAATCTCTGAGACTTTCCTTGAAGACAGACACAAACTCTGACATTTAGCATATAGTAGAATCTTCAAGCATTACAATAAAAAACTATCTGTAGGAGACAGACTTCAAATGGCTGTGGTTAGATTATTATTGAGAATTTTCACATGTGAAAGGTCTGATGAGAGTTCATATTAAGAATAGGCTACTGAGGGCCGGCTGAGTGGCTCAGTTGGTTAAGAGCTCGCTCAAGAGTTTGAGCTCTGAGCAACAGCGGTTCGAGTCAGCCCGAGCTGAGCAGCC